CCCAGCATACGCGTTCCATCTCGATCAAAGCTACCACCCAGTAGCTTGTTTATGTGACGCGCCGCTACCTCTGTGTCGTTGCTGCTAGGGGAGGCCATAACGGGAATAAGGTTAGGGTTTGAACGAATAGCCACACAGTGCTAAATGACTCCTTGTATCGCCATTGTTCGAAGCCACTTCGGAAACCATTTCCGTCAGCGATATCGCCGCCAAAATCTCGCCGTTAGACGTTGTACACCCGATTGATTTACGGTGTGTGTTACACGACATGTACAAAGAAGCTCGATAGCGTGAACGGCCCTGAAACTCTAAAGGTTTGATGTTTACATGATACATCAAATCTCAAACTGGCTACATCTGCAAGTATTTTAACATTTTGACGGCACAGTCTAATCCCGTTCCGTAACAAACTATGCCCACACGCCGATAAGTCAAAAGGTCCTGTCTACCGGTTGGCGTTATACTTTACTAGGCGAACGTAGGCACAACCAATAGTCTTGGATGAGGTGCCCGTCATGGACTCTTCTTGCATGGGCTTAGTAGATACCTTGGACCACCAAGGTATCATTCCCAGAGCACGACTGAGATCCCCGATGCGCACTCCTTCGTCCATGTCCTTCAACACCTTGGGCCTGTGCACCTGAAACATGCTTCATCTGGGTTTAGCGTAGGATATGCAGGCACCACAACACACACCGTCCTTTGTAAGGGCATCAACGGAACAACGTATACGTCTTACAATGGATGAGGTGCCACATCCCGTGCATATGTCTCTTGAGTGAGGTGCCGAAATCCTGGACCCATTGGACCGATGTCTCTCCTCCTGCACACCAGATAAACGTCCCACACCTTTAATGGCCATCGGAAACACACCCAGTCGGCACGCCAACGATCCTCACCTCATATCCCATCGCCCTTGCCTCGGCCATTAGAACGACTCTGTAGTCAAATGTCGGTAACTCCAGTAGTATGACATCCTCGAGGCTTGTTGCGCTGTGATTTACGAGTCTGTAATCCGCTATTGACGTCATAAACCGGCGACCTTTGGCACGTGTAATGCTCGACTTCGACTCGTCCGGATACGTGGCGTATATGAGCCTCAGGTACATGAACAGTGTGGGTGCATCGGGTGTTATTGCAAGAGACGCATGGGCTTCTGAAATCGCGCGCGCCCTGTGCTGTCTAGGACTGCGCCTTCCACTACCCAGGAATGGGTCCAGAGACCTAAGAATCGTGGCCGCGCTAAGGGTCTGACCTCGTTGTGACATTATGGCACCCTGCACCTGCATTATGGCGTAGGCTATAGTGGGCTTAAACCGTATGAAATAACCCCGGATGTTGCGCCGACGAGGCTCCAGCACGTCGCGCGCTTTACTACGCGTTGCGCTCATCATGCCACTACCAACTGAAATCAGTAACATTAGGCGGACGTTAGGGTTTTGTAAGTGTCCATCCTACGGAAATCAAGGAACGGGCTGGTGGGACGATTGGAAGCGGTGTGGAATGGTTTGTGGAGTGTTGGCACGCTTTCATGGTCAACTGGGTGTACCGAGCACAAAGTGCAAAATTACTTCGCGCTTTCTTCAGTATGTGCCATATCGGGGAGGTGAACATTTTACTCGCTCTCGGTTTGAGCGTGGAATGTGCTATATCCCCAACGTGAACAATCTCGTTACGTACACAATGATTGACAATGTGCGTATTATTCGACAAATACACCGGTTACTGAGATCAATAGGGCTCATCAGTTACTACATCCCATACTCAATATCCCCATGCACGCTAGACAGGGATGCCGTTGGGGAGTTGAAGCATATCTCCTCGCTGGCCGTGGAAGACATGGACGAGGAAGGCGCGTATGAATGCCTCCTAACCTTCTTCTCTGGTGTGCGCAGCAGACGGTCAACGAGGTCCGGGTTCCCCAAGCGCTTAAGCGTGACGACGACACTCGGAGCTACTCCCGTCGCGCTAGCAAGCCTTTTGTACGCATCAGATGCCATACGCATGAACCGGCGGCGAGTCCTGTCGTCCCATTTGACGCGGCCGACACAGCTTGAATCATCAATCCGACGGATGACCGGCTCTGGAAAACGTTCGGCCGTATCCTCGTCCATGGTGTCATCCCAAGTTGCGTAGTCCAATGCATCCATCACGCAGTCGGGGATGTCCAACTGGTCCAGCCTCCTCTGCAGGCCCGTGAGGCTAACGACGAGCTGCTCCACAACCTCGACATGCAGGTCGCGGTTGATCGCCTGAAGCCGAGGCAGCCACTCGTCCAGGACGCACCCAGTGCGCCAAAACGCGAGCTGAATGTGAGATGTCGCCACCCCCCACAGTGCCTGGAATGTCCACTGCAACGTGTTCGCGGCCGATGGAGAGTTGCTGGTCCACACCTAAGCTGGAGGCACGCGCCTCATGAAGCGAGTCTGGTGGTCCACCCACATTGTGCGGAATTCGGACCTGAAGAATGTGACAATGCCCTGCACGACGGGGTTCCCCACGTCTGGTACAACATCATGAAGCTGCACAATGCGAGTATGGGTTAGGTGGTGCACCATGAAGGGCCCACTCGGCTCTCGCTTGCCCTCTCCCCAAGTGAGCTTGTGCCTACGCGAGGACACAAGGACGACGATGTCACGGTCCTCTGCAAATTTCGCAGCGTTGAGGCCTAGCATGAACTGCGTGAAAAGCTGCACGTAATAACATAGAGTATCACAGAGACATATTTTTAGCACCAACGTATTGAGTCCATATATAGGAGACATTTTTGCGTGTCATCTCTAGTACAATTGGCCATTACCTGGGGGGTTATGCGGCCGGACCGAGTACGGCGTATATATGCCCATTGGTCGCCGCTGACATCGTGGCCCAGCCTCAGTGGCTCCCGGTCGGCGCTCACTACAATGGGCCTGAAGCGATGCGCGCCGTCTGCGGAATAGAGAAGGCCGATAGACAGCCTCTTCATATCATTCCCATTGCGACCGACGAACGGATGCAGGTATGGCTGCAGAGCAGGTAGGAGAGAAACCTCTACAAATATGTAGATGTCGCTGGGAGGTGCGCCAAGGCGCGGCAAGAGATCCTTTAGAGCGGCCATGGAAGTAAAGTGGCGTCTGCTACAAATGGCGGCATATGATATAACCGGTAGGATTGGCGAGTACAGCGTCCAATGTACCTGCTAATTGACAATGAGTGAGTCTAGCGTGAGAAAAACATCGGCGCAAGCTGGCCACTCCCTCTTTGCCCTGACAGGCGTGGATTGGCCACAGAAGCTACTGATTGCGCAATGACGTGGGTACACCTCATAGGCTACCACGGTTGTGCACTCTTTAAACCACATGTTTGTGCCCTGAAAGCTAATCTGTTAGTGACATTTCCGTACCCTGTACAGTATATGCCCGGGTCAGTTGGGGTTCCGAGATAGTGTGCGCATGAATGCGTACGTCGGTACACTGTTACATTGCATGGTATAGTTATACTGTTTAGGAAATATCACGCCGCATCGCCCTGAACATCAATATACATCATTTAATTTGGATGCTCCACTCATCGTCAATACGTTCAGTGTTCGACAATAGTTCAATGGTGTAACTGAAACGAAGTCGAATTAAACCCATCCGCGTCAAGGTGAGTGGCCGAAATGTTACGTCGCTGTTAATCGCATTTGGTTATGTTCATAACGGGACATATGTCGTCCCGATAATGGCTGCACAATTGAGTTTATAAAGGTTCCGCGTAGTATCGGCGGTGCATGCTGACGAGGGTACAGTAATCTCGACTCAATTGCACTGTGACAAGTGTCAAATATGGCTGGAACCCGCTGCCAATCACGAACCGCCATGGTGGTATCCACATTCTACAATCTCCTCTGTCCCTGAGTCTCCGTCGTCTGAGCAAATCAGATGTTTATCCCCGAAGATGCCTGGTGGAGTGTATAAACGCAACAATCGCACTACAGCCCGACAGTTTAGTTCTTGCCACACTAGGGTTTCGGCCTTTCTCATGAAGTCGCCATGGTACCGCGAACCAAAGCCCAGGCCTCTAAACGAGGCCTCCATAGTCCACAAGCCATGACATCGCGTAGGCCACCGGCAGCGCCGCGGCGGGATAACACCACGATCCCGGAATCGATGAGCAACAAGCGGCTGCGCTCGCGTGAACTCCAGCAGGGGGATACGAATACCGAGGCCGCAGTGGCCGCGTCGGTTTCAGCATGGGGCTCGCGGCTGCCATGCGTCAAAGATGAGCCCGCGCCGAATGACGCGCTGACTGCTTTACTGAACGCACCATCTTCAACGACCTTTAAGACGGTGTCTCTGTATAACCACATGGGTGTGGGCTATCAAGTGACTGCGCACGACGCATTGATGCTCACTGACAAGGAATATCTGGGGGACGCGGTCGTCGATTTCCATAACATGTACGTTTTTGGTTGGCGATACTCCTCTAGGTTGCTTTGTCGCCACCTACGGTATGCCGACTTTAACGTTTAAAATTTTATCGTGCGTTATCCCTTCGCACCCGTGCAGCCTCCTGAACATCAGGTACCCAAGGGAACGGGAAATCATGGGTGGTCCTTGACAGCAAGGCGTATGCGTATGCCAAGCTTCACAAGAAGCCGATTGGGAGGTGCACGGGCCCGTCTGTGTTTGAGTACGATTACATCGCCGTCCCGGTATATGCCGGGTAAGTACGTCTTTTGCAAGCCGCTGTAATAAGCCCGTCTGTCGCCCCAGCCTAACAAAGGCCCCTCAATTGTGCAGGAAACACTATTCTTTGATGGTGGTAACCAACCCGAGCGGGATTGTAAGCCAGACGGCCGCACCTGTGGAGTTCATTCTGTTCGACAGTGACGGCCTCCACGCCAAGACTACTGATGCCTTTGACGGGACTAAAGCGTGAGACTCGCTATATATCACCGTGCAACCCCCTTTCAGCGGTGAAGTCCTGCGACCTCATCTGACCTGTTGGCTATATCGTCGTGCAGGTTATTGCACCTCATGTGCAAACGCGATCATCCGGAGGTGGACCAGGAGGCGTCTAGGCAAGCACTCATCAAGGCAGAAACGATAATCATGGAGGTGAGATGCTGCAAAGACAGTATGGCTCATTCTATCCCACTTGCTTTCTAATACGGGAGCGTGTTCTGATGAACGGAAACATGGTGCCTCGATGGTGCGCAGGGTCACCAGATCCCCAAACAACCTAACAGCTGGGACTGCGGAGTGTACATGTGCCAGTATCTCGAAGCACTGGTGACATCTGGGTTCATAACCGTGAGAGAGTACATATCGTTCAAGGGGGTGAGCGCTGAGAGGTACCGCCACAAAATGCGTGGGGATCTTTGTTCTCATGCCGAGGGAACGCTGATTCCCGAGCTGCAGCGCCAGGGTCTCCGCATACCTCTGCAGCCTGTTCCCGTTATCGACGACAACGGATACATCTGCGTCGACCCTCCCGTGGACATCCGAAGAGAGCTGCTAGACCACAAGGAGAAGTTCGCTGTGATTGAGCACGACATACAGGTTCTGACGGCCAAGATCGAGTATCTGGCCATCCGCAAAGGCGTGACGTCGGACGAGCTGGACGCAGGGGCGCGCCAACACCTTGGTGTCGTGGTGGACACGCTGGTAGAGTCGGCGACTCCACGCAAGCACGCTAAAGCAGACCCTACCGCGGACAGAAGTGGCCCAATGGAAGTCGCGCAGACTCCACTGACGCGTGCACTGGCGGCAGTGCCATCAATCTCTCCCTGTCTTGCACCTCACACACCTGCCGTGAAAGATAGCCAAGTTACTGCCGGAGACGCGACACCTGCTGTGGTCAGGCAACAACAGCGCGACCATCTTGCAGTGGCTTTGCGCAGCCGCGCTAAGACTCCCGTGCCCGCAGCTCCAGGTAACCCCGGAAGGGTCGCAAGCAGCGGCCGAACGGGAGTTATGTGGAACGCAGAGACGCAGAGGTACTACGTCCGGATCATATCTGCTCGCCGTCAGCAGGTTCGTCTGGGGTCGTACGAGGACAAGGACGAGGCGTCATACGCGTATGCTGCGGGAGCCGTTGTACTTCGCCCGAACTCACGCATCAGCTGCACGGTTGAGCTGTCCGACGGTGACAGGCAGGCTTTAGCCAGCTGCACAGAGGAGATCCTAAGGCTACTCGTGAAGTACAGGCGCTGGAACAGATGGAGGGAGTGGAGAGCCGCAATGGCTGGCCTGGACGACGCGCAGCCGGTTGAGACCCGTTCGCGGCGAAAGGGCAGAGTGTCCTGGGCCATTAGTGACGTTGAGGAGGTGGAGGCGATCACGCAGACTACAGAGGACCAGCCTATGGCTGAAGAGCCAGAGGACCGAACAGAGGACTACACGGATGACGATGAGTCCGTTGACGATGATGCTGTGTACGAACCTGGAAACGATACTTTCGACGAAGATGATGGATGGGAGGATGTCAACCATGCACAAGGTGTTGCATGAAGCACTAAACAGGGTGGCCATTGGACCAGGGGTTGTTCTAGTTGTGTGCTCATACTGATAGGACTTAGACCTGGTGGCGGGTAGCCGAATCTGGAAATGTAAGCATCGCATCTACCACGGTTTTGAACTGTCCATATCCAGGAGATGTAAATATATGACAAAGAACTCTTAAACGATGCATATCTTGAAACTGTAACCACGGTTGGGGGTAGTAGCAAATGGTGAAAAAGGTGGGTGTATAATTGGAGTAACGCATCTGACAGAAACGTGGACGAGCATCGACGATGTGACAATCCTGGCACGGCGACATGTTACATGTGGAAAGTGTGGCTGACAATTGTCTGTAATCAAACTGGCCACTCTAACCGTGACATGTGTAGAATTGTGCGCGTGGCCAAGAGCGTGAGGCAACTAGTGCGGTGACAAACTCCGTTATCGAGCATTGCGATGTACACGAGAGTGGTAAGGGGACTGTTGCGAGCGAGGGTAGAACCCCGGGGTGGTTTAGAGCTACGCCATTTCGAACCCGCTGTGTATGCGGTCTGAGATGCTGTCTCCGCTAGAGGTCGATATGACTCCCACCGACGGCGGTCGTTCCAAGCGGGCGAAGACTGCGCCATCATGGTTAGCTGATTCATATGAATACGGGGAGCGGAAGAAGAAAGGACGACCCCTAGCGGAACCCAAGAGGCGTAAAACAAGCACAGGAAAATGTGGCGCGGCGGATAAGAACGCGGGGCATGACGAAGGTAACATTTGTGACGTGACAAGTACGTTGCATTTCATGTACCAGTGCTAATGCTTGTCTGTGGTGATATATGCCGTATGCGCACGCAAACTACACACCCTTCTACCTACCACGGAACTGGTCACAGAGACTCGAGAAGTGCCGCTGCAGATATGCAGCGCCAACGCTGTCGGGGCCGTCGACGCGGAGGCAGCCTGCACGCCCATTGTCGCCAACGCACCGCAAGGGGAGGAGGACACCAAGGCTGTGAAGGAACGCCTGATAGACGAGTTAATGGAAGGCGAAGATGAGGACGACGAGGAAGGAAACGGTGGTGGTCAGTCGTCAAGCAACGATCCGTGTGGCGAGAACGGATCAGAGGAGGAGCAGGCCACAAAAGCGCCACATTCGAGGAAGCAGATAGATGCAGCCGATGGCCAAGTCACACGCGAGGAATTTGATGCGTTGCGTGATTCCCATAATGATACCGCGAAGACACTGGCTCGTCTTGAGTCACACGTACTGACCATCAACATCCACACTCTTGATCATCTATTAGGTACACAACGCACCCACGGGCATAAATGCTGACCTCTACTTCTACAGCATCCCTTCGTCGTCAGTTTCCCACTCATCGTCGCTTCCCCAATCTTTGCGACTGCTTTCCCGTAAGATCTCCACACGTGGAAGCCCAGGAATCGCATTGATCGTTTTATCGAAAGCAGGGCAATGAACAATCTCAAGAGAGTAAAGGCGGCCAAGCTTGGACATGGAATCAGGCAAGCTCGTCAGTTCGTTCCAAAAACGAAGGTTCAGCCGCTCCAGTCCCAAGAGGTTACCAATCTGGGGAGGAAGGGTGTTGAGATCCGGAACACCAGACAGAACAAGGGATGTAAGGCTGGATAGTCTGCAAATATTGGACACGAAGGCTTCAGCTGAAGGTACTCCTCCAGCCTGGCCACCATTTCTGCAGCTGTATGGCCAGTCAAACTCCAGTTTCACTAAGTTCGTGCAGTCTTGGAAGAGAGAAGTCCGAACCTCGGTGATGGCACCGCATCCTTTCAGGACGAAGGATCGGAGGTCGGACAGCTTTGAAATGGAGCCTGGCAGCTGCGTCACTCCCAGATCCCTGAACTTCAGACGCTGCAGTGAAGTTACGTCGCCGATGCTTCGCGGAAGGCTGGTAAGATCCCAGCAGTCGGTGACCATCAGGCGACGGAGGTTAGGAAGTTGACAGAGGGAATCCGGGAGCGATTCGAACCAGCATTTGTCAATCTGAAGCATTTCGAGATTCACGAGATTCGACACAGCGCCATCGAGCTCCGGAAGATCTTTCAATTCCCACAGCTTGAGAACCTTGAGAGACGGAAGATGGAAGAAGGGATCCGGCAGCTCGCAGAGGGACCGGTTGTGGTAGAGAAGAACATCTTCGAGGTTTTGAAGCTGTCCGATGCTGTCAGGGAGAACTTCCATCGGCTTCGCGCGGAAAATTTCCAGCTTCTGTAACGAACGAAGATTGCCGATGGAATCCGGTAGATCCTCAAGCCGCTTGCAGTTGGAAATGCTTAGCTCGGTCAATGCAGTGAGCTGGCCGATCGAATCTGGTAGATCTGTGATGTGCAGGCACTCCAATGTCAACCGCTTCAGGGATTTCAGGTTGCCGAACTGATCCGGGAATTCGCCGAGGCCGAAACTGAGTGTGAGGTCTCTCAATGAGGTTAAACCGAATAATGAAATCGGCATCTGCTCAATCTTCACGGACAAGTGTAAGGAGAGTATCTGCAGGTCAGTGCATGCCGTGAGCAGTGCATCTAGCCCCGTACGCGTTACTGTGGAACGGCTAGAATTCATAAGTTGTAGGCTCGTAAGCTTGGGACAGGCAGAAGCCAGGCCAATGAGGAAATCGTCACCCGGACCCTCGGACCCAACTATATTTACAGACGTTAGGTTCTTAAACTGAGAAAGAGATCGGAGAACGTGGGTGTTTTGGACATAACTCTTGAAGAAGATCGACCTTTGAGTAAGACAAACGATGCGATACCATCGCTTACAGACCAGGGCTAGGGAGAAATGCGCTGCTCCCTGCCAGGGAGAATAGTGATTAATTCTCTCACAGAGAATAGTGCATAGAAGATCGTCCGACAAGTGGTCGAACGACACGCGAGTCAACGCCATACCACGTAGTTATGAAGCTAGCAAGGTAATGGAGGAATCAGCTGAACTAAGACGTTTCACTAGGACAAGAGTGCAAGGACTGTATACTAAGCTAGTCTGCTGAGTCCGGCCTCCCAAGTACTAGTAATAGTCTTCGGAGAGATCTCAGCATCTTTACCTCCTGCGACTTACGTTTTTTACAACGGTGCAGAACGTTCTTATACGAAAAAGAGCTTTTACGGTGGGGTTCCACAGACTGCTGAACATCAGGGTGAGTACAGGCTTGGGAAATTCAGAACCTGCGCAGCACTGCAGCGTTGGAGTCTGACTGTCAGGGTTTCCTGACATGTCTGCAGATGTGACAGGCTGACGAAAATGAGCGGGATTGGCCAATGATCAGCTGGATTTCAGCTTTCGCACGGAATTCCGTTCGCGCGAGCTGCTTGCGACATTCACGAATGTCCCAATCGTGGGAGGGGAGTGCCTGATTTGTCACCAAGCTGTGCATTACGGTAACATAGCTTTTTCAAAAGCTACAAAATGCTACAGCTTCGGTTCTGTGACATGTCGTAATGTCCAACATCCATGGCTGGTTTCTCCGTTCATGTGCTGGTTACCAGGGCTGACTGGCAAGTCTTTCGAACTCTTTCAAACTTTGAAACTCTCCAGGTGCTGGTTATGAGTGCTTGTTTCAAACTTGGGCGCGGCTGAATGACTAGCATCTCCCCAGCTCGTGAACTGAGAGTGTGACTATGCGTCTGACGATCAAGGCAGTACAGTTGTAGGCTCGCCGTAATATACTTTTCCTAGTAACTTCATTTCTATGCTTCATGTCTGATGTCATTCAGCCCCTAGAATTGTTTTTTTGCTTGGACGAAGACACTGCATGACCGTTGGAAGGGTTGTAGCATGGCGAAAGGCGGGTCCGCATGCACAGCTCTTTCGCTTAGTGATGACGAATATGAAACGCTAAGTGACAGCGACTTTGAATGTGCCAGCAATAGTGATAGTAGGAACTACGACAGCTACAGCAATAGTAGTAGGGGTAGTGACAGTCCTGGCGATAATAGTAGCGATTTCGACAGCGATGTCGATAATAACGGGGATAGTAGTGGCAATGACGTTGACAAGTCCTGGTTGGTGGACGAAAACGGAAAGGTAACAGACAACGAAACGGAAAGTAGTAGAACAGGAAGCAACTCCATGCTGCCAACGCCTGCTAGCTCGAAACGTCTGGAAAAGAAGGCTGTTGGCAATTCGACTGATCGCAGGGGCTCCTCTCTGCCATCCAATCCGTACGCGCAGGCATTATCCTTGATTCGAGGTACATTCCCAACACTACCCTGTACCCGTTTTTATTGATAACATTTTACCCCGTACCATCCGACTGACTCTTTTCCTTTTCTCCTGAACCGTGTTTGTTTTGTTTGATCCCGTTTTTACCATTGACTCGCATCGCAGCGGGAGAGTGGGGCAAGCTGACCAGCGAGCTATGTAAGGCCTATCTGCGGTATTACGGTTTAAGGCTGAGCGACTCGAAGGCGGACCTGATCAGTCGCATTCAGAGACATTACGAGTAAGCTCCTCGTTACGTCCGAGAAAGACGTGTCGCTTTTGAGTTGTCGAACGCCCTGCTGTTCATCTGAACAGAGTAGAGTCTCCTGCTTCAGGGAACGCAATGCGTTTGGGAAATTGCAGCTCAAGCGTGAAAGGTGATATGAAACACTTCTCTGTTCCATTTGATACATCTCTACAATTGGTGTCGAATTACAGCCGATTTTTTCGTTTTTTGCTAAGGTACGGTCAGTTTCCCCTCGTTTTCTGTTAATGTAGTGTCAGATTTCCTTCGTTTCTTTCCCATTTCAAGACAGGCTCAAGGACGTCCAATCAGCCAAGCGCCAGTACCCACGTGCATCCTTCTTCATCAATTGCACAGGTAACCAATGAACAGGGACTTCAATGCTCGTCAAAAGCTGGACCATATGCAAGATATTTGCTTCATGGCACGCCAAAGCACGTTCTTATATCCACAACTGCCGCACCATCGTACCAGAGTCCCAAAGCACGTTTTCTTTACTGCCGTTTCATTCAACATGGCGATGCCACAGGTGACGTCTGCAGAAATGACGTTGTTCTATTTAACCAACGAATATCCACAAGATCAGTCTCAACGTAAGTCTCAAGGCCGGTCTCAAGGCCGGTCTCAGGGACAGCTTCCAGGTCATCCATTATGTCACCTCTTTTTCTGCTTGTGTTGTCTCATCTCATTAGCTCTGTTCTCCGTGAATGCAAGGGCAGAAGGTTGCTTGCCTGCAAGCGGAGGGGATGGGAATGGAGGGTGAAAGGTAAGGGGGAGGTAGTAATGCGGCCACATAGTGCAAGGGGGAGGTAAAGTGCAGCACGCTTTTGCTTCACAGCATGCCTGCCATATGCCTTTTTACCACGCCCGGAATGGTTGCAGTTTGAGACTGTGGAATGCGGCCACGTCCGTGCCATGCAATCCTGCCATGGCATGCCATGCCTGTTTCCCATGGCATACCATGCCTGTTGCCCATGTCATGCAACCTCAGATTTGTGCCTTATTCTAGTGCCTGTATGTGCTGCACGTTTCATGTACATGGCAACGGATAGCAACTGACGCCAACAGATGACCCATGCAGGCATGAGAGGAAGGCAACGCATGGAGGGTATCGGTTGGTGGCAGGGAGAGTGGTCAGTGAAAGCTACGGTGTGAAGAAGCAGCAGCACACGTTCACTGTAAGCACACACTTTTTCTAGTGAAAGTGGCAGCTTACAGTTGACTCGTTAGAAGTCCATGCATTTGCCACCGTACCCATTGCTCACTCTGTATTTCCAAATCCAACTGAGCTTTAATTTGTTTGAACTTTCTTTCAGGTGGAGGTTATTTGGACCTCCGGTGCACATGCACTGGCTCCAATGACGCAGCTACTTGTAAAGGGGAGAATACTGTACAGACATAAAACATTTCGACAGGTGAATTTGTCTACTCTAATCCTAACGTGTGCATGCATTTGTCTAGTGAAGGGTCGGTATCCGATGCTGCGTGCATTTTGTTTGAATAATACAGGGCAAATATGTACATGCAGAATCATAAGGGTTGGTTGGGGAAAGCGTATGCATGGAATGAGCCATTTTTCACGCATGAAAATCTCAACAGCCGTTTTTCTGAGTGATCATCTCAACCTGCCACTTCCCGAGCTTTCACTGAGGCGGATGGAGCCACTGCGACTGAGTGTTGTGATCAGATGCCACAACCCTTACGTCGACTGACTGTTCCAGCTCTCTCGCTGACCTTTTCCTCACTACCTTGGCTTGTTCTCGTTGCTGCCTTACACTCGTCTAGAAATGGCCATAATGAGGTAGACAGGGAGGCTGCATTAGGCTGTTCTGATTACGTTTTGAAACCCTGTTTTTACCCATCGTCCTAGCATGTTCCCATTGCTGCCCTCCATTCGCCCAGAAATGGCCCAATGAGGCGGAGCGTGTGGCTGCCATTGCAGAGAAGCATGCGAGGGGAGACGAGGCCCGCAGCATGCGGGAGAAGCGGCTCGCAAGCAAATCCTGTAGAAACGGGAGACGGCTGGAGAAGGCATTAACTGGGAAGCGCCGGGAGAGACCATCAATTCGAGAGAAGTTAGCGAAGACGACTAGTACAAGACGGGGATCCCATGGCCGGTCAACTCATCCCAGCCCTGCCAGCAGCAGGGGTAGAAAACGCCCTCAGTGTGAAAACAGGTATGGATGGTTGTTTTCAACAGGTATGGATGGTGAGTGAAGGGGAGGGCATGCTTAGAGTGACTGCTGAGGGAGGAGGAGCAAGTGCAAGAGGAGAAGGAGAAGATGTGCAAACGCTGGTAGTGGTTCTTTCGTGGTGTGCCACATTTGGCCATAAGGAGAGGACATACATCCACTGAATGTATGAGACGGGCGGAGGAAAGGCGAAGGAAAGTGCATATCCTTTCTGTATGGCTGATCGTTTTTGCACCTTCCCCCCCATTTCTTTCCTCCCATCCCCCACCCCCTTGTCCCCTCCTGGCCCCCTTCCCCCAGCCCCAGCCAATTACTCTCACATGCACGCACTACCACTCCCACTCCTTTGTGTGTTCCTTCCTGAAACAAGCCTTTTCACTTATGAGCAAGATGTATGGTACCTCTGGCCTCCCACTTATCTTTACTGTACACACGCATGGACACAGATGATCCTTGTGTCCCAATATCACCCCACTTTCCCCCCTTTCCAGCTCCGCTCCTCCCTCTCCCCACTGTCCCACTCCTGCATCCCACTGTATTGGATTCCCATTCCTCTCGATCACAATCAGGTGGACACCGAGGAAAAGGCGGGACACGAAAATCTAGGCTTCCCGAACAGTGAAGAGCACTTCTGCTGCACAGTGCTTGGCTCTAAAACGCTAGCTGTGGTAAGGTCAAGTCAACCACATCCAGATGCCATTGAAACCAAGATGGTGCCTACTTTCTGTTTTGGCTTAAAAAAGCAGTCCCATATGAAGTAATCAGATTTACTCATGATTCGTGAGCACCCTGGTACCACAGAATGGCAATTTTGAGTTCCTGGTCTGTGTGTGTGAATATGGGAACAGTGGAATTACCGGTACCCTACTGGTGTGCTGCGTGAGTCCTGGTTGTGTGTTTTTGTACGGGAACGATGGGATGGGAGTGCTGAATAGGATGACATGGGATGGGATAGTAAGGGAAGATACGCAAACACTCTGAATGAATACAAGAGCCAAGTGATAAGGTAGTTTCGCCAGCACTCAAACTAGCTAAGGAATGAATGGACACAATAGTCACACAGACACCCACGTGCATCATCGACTAGGTACCCAAGCAATGAATCATCTACTAGGTAAGCAACACACCCACATGCATACATAGACACTCTTTTTGCATCTACAGCAGCCCCTCGTCGTCACTGAATCATCAATGAAACATCCAGTGAATCATCCCTAAGCAATGAATCATCTACTAGGTAAGCAACACACCCACATGCATACATAGACACTCTTTTTGCATCTACAGCAGCCCCTCGTCGTCGCTTCCCCACTCGTCGTCGCTTGCCCACTCTTCTCGACTGCTCTCCCGTACAATCTTCACACGTGGAAGCCTAAGAATAGCATTGATCCTTTTATCGAAAGCCGGGCAGGTTACGATTTCAAGGGTGTAGAGGTCGACGAGCTTGGACATTGAATCAGGCAGGCACACCAGTTTGGGCCAAGAATCAAGTTGTTGGAAGTGTGGGGGACGGGATTGCCCCCCACGCGAAGACCTCCCTTGACTCGGACCAAGGGAGGGTTCGTTCTTGGAAGGTTGGGGTGACGGCGGATTGTCCGCGTCGCCACGCAACCGAACTTCCCTCGGTTGGGTCCGAACATTTGTGGGGGCGACACTTGGCAGCCCCACAAGCATGCACGAAAATACCGTAGCGAGGGTGCAAGCGAATGTTCCGAACATTTCGCTACACTCGCTATTGATCCTTGTAACACACGATTGTCGGCGTGAAGAAACGAACCCGGCAAAGTCCGAAATTATGAACACGGACGTCGCGGAAATTGGACGCGATCCTGAGTCCGAATTTCTGGCGAGTCGCGCGCGGTTCGATGTTACAATTCTGCATGTGTGTTTTAGTTATAAATCCAGAGAGCAAAACAGAGAGTATATATTCCTTGTACGACTTGTGTACCTATCTTCATATGAACAACGTTTTCTCTCTCAACTCTTGGGCGATTTCAGTGATCTAAGTTGCTACGGAATCCTTGCTCCGAGCCCGTCGGATTGATCCTAGGCTCTGGTTTTAACTCGTCAAGCTGAGTCTGTGGCGTCAGTTAATCCAGGGCGGATTCTTACATGGTATGAGAGCTAGATTAGGAGTGCTCGCTCAAGCGTTGCTACGCCATGGGTTCCTCCGATAATTCGTCGACGACGAATACGCCAACGGCCCCTTCCCTCCCAACGGACTTCTCGACAACCCCGCACGTTGTCGACTTGAGCGCGGTGCCAATTTTTACCGGGGAACATTTCTCCTCGTGGCGCTTCAAGTTGAAAGTCTACATGACGGAGCGCAACTTGTGGGGATTCTTCGATGGGTCGGCATCGAAGCCCACGTCGGACGCTTCAACCGCGGAGAAGGAAGCGTGGGTGCGCAAGGACAAAAAGGCGTTTGCCTTTCTTGTCTCCAAGCTAAGCCTCCAACTCGTCCCGATCGTGAGCCCTTGCATCGACCGTGACGGCGCGACTCGTGAAGCGTGGAAGCGACTCGAAGGAGAGCACGTCTCCAAGTCGCTTCATAGCAAGCTTCAAGCGCGCCTCGACTTCTTCACGGTGCGGATGAAGGACGGCGAGTCAATGCGCGCGTACGTTAACCGCGTGGAGGAGCTTGGCGAGCGCTTGGTGGAACTCGACGCGAGCGTGGAGGACAACGATTGGATCATGACGCTCCTCGCGGGCCTCGGTGAAGCATGGTCAACGGTGATCACGGTGTTGGATGGGACGCAAGATACATGGAAGAAGGAGCAAGTGGTGGCACGCCTCATCAACGAAGAGGCGAGGCGCGCGAAGTTGCATGGCGATGCAATCGGCGCGGCACACTTCTCCCGCGATGCGAAGGCGAAAGGGTCGGGTCACTTCAAGCGGCGCAACGACGGCAACAACCGCGGGAGTTCGAACGGGAGCGCGGCGGCCTCAAGCTCATCACGAGGAGGATCGGCCAACGCCAATCGAGCTCGGGCGCGAGAGGGAGCTTGTCGGTTTTGCAAGAAGACGGGACATTGGTGGCGCGATTGTCCCGTTAAACCGGCAAATTGGAGGCCGTCTTCAAGTGACGACAACCGGCGGGCGCATGTGGCGACATGCGACAACAACGACCGGGAGTTCGTCTTCGTCGCAAGTGGAACGACCGTCGGTGGTGTTGACGCGTGGGTACTCGATACGGGTGCTACTCAACACATGACGGCGAGCGCGACGCTTCTCAACAACGTGACAACGGTGGCTCCCGTTAAGCGCGTGATGTTCGGCAACCGTGACACCTTGGATGTCACGGGACAAGGCGACTTGCGGCTCATGGTGGATGGCGGTCCACTCACCATCAAGAACGTCTTGGTGGTTCCCGGGCTTGGCGCCAACCTCCTATCCGTTTCCCAATTTACACGCAAGGGGATGCGTGTGAATATTGAAGGGACCCCGATGGCGTTGAGCACGGCGGACGGCGTACACATCGGCAAGGCACGCCAAGCGGGAGGACTCTTCATGCTCGACGCTCTTCCGAGTGTGGCGACGGCTCAAGCGGCTACCTCGACAACAACTCTCTCGACGTGGCATAATCGGTATGGCCATCTCAACCACGCCGCTATTCAAGCTATGGCAACAAAGGGGATTGTCGATGGCTTGGAGTTTTTGCGCTCGAGTGGAGACGACGAGAAGTGTGTCGGTTGCCTTGAAGGGAAAATGGCTCGGAAGCCATTTCCACCAAGCACGAAGCCCAACGCCACCGAACCTCTCAAGCTCATTCACACCGACTTGTGTGGACCCATCACTCCCGCGTCGAAGGGCGGCGCGCGCTACGTCCTCACGCTCCTTGACGACGCGACGCGGATGTGTTGGATTCGGCTTCTCAAGAGCAAGGACGCCACGTCAACCGCTATCAAGAAATGGGTAGCGGATGTGGAGACGGAAAGCGGCTTCAAGGTGAAGCGCTTTCGCTCGGATGGCGGTGGAGAATACACCGCTCGGGAGCTCGGCGATTGGTTGGAAGGGCGTGGGATCGCGCATGAGTTTTCGACGCCGTACACGCCTCAACAAAATGGTGCGGCCGAACGCTTGAACCGCACGCTCATGGAGTCGGCACGGAGTCTCCTCTCCCATGCTCAAGCGGAAAAGCATTGGTGGGATGAGGCGGTTACGTTGGCAACATGGATTCGCAACCGGTGCGTGACCAAGGCGTTGCCGAACACGACGCCTCTTGAGGCTTGGAGCGGTACGAAGCCGGACGTCACCGACCTTCGCACGTTTGGGTGTACGTGCTACTACCATGTCCCGGATGCCACACGGACCAAGCTTGAGGCGAAGGCGCGGGTGGCGATGTACTTGGGTCCAAGCGCGGATCACAAGGCGTGGCGTGTGTGGGACTTGGAGCACGGGAAGCTCGTGGTGTCGCGCGACGTGGTGTTCTACGAAGACACCTTCCCGTCCAAGTCGATGCACGTGCCCTCGGTCATCATTGACCCTCCCTCCTTGGATGCTGCGGATGAGGCGGATGTTGCTCCTACGGCTTCTCCTCCTCGTACGAGTGAGGGGGAGAATGGATCGGGTGCGGTTGGAGTGAGTGCGGATGACGAACATGCCAAGGAAAGTGACCCTTCATCTCCTCCTCCCAAAATCACTCCCACCCTCGCATCCACTCGCACTCGGAGGACTCCTCGTCCCAACTCCAAGTTGGATGGCTACTCTCTTGTGGCGGGGGATGATGAGGGAGGGGGAGATGCCATGTGTCTTGAGGCATACACCGACACACCGTCCACCTACCAAGGCGCCATGAGCTCGGCGGAAGCGGCGGAATGGGAACGTGCGCTTCAAGAGGAGTACGATTCGCTCATGGCGAACGACGTCTACGAGCTCGTCCCCATGCCCCCGGGCGCCTACCTCGTTGGCTCTCGTTGGGTCTTCAAGAAGAAGCTCGGCCCCAACGGAGAAATGGAGCGGTACAAGGCGCGGTTGGTGGCGCAAGGTTATACTCAAAAGGAGGGTCTTCACTACAACGAGACGTTCGCTCCCGTCGCTAAGTCCGCTACGTTGCGCACTCTCTTGGCGTTGGCGGGAGCACTCGACTTGGAGGTGGAACAACTCGACGTGAAGACGGCGTTTCTCTACGGTCGTCTCAAGGAGGAGGTGTACATGAAGCAACCTCCCGGGTTCGACGACGACTCCGACCGCGTGTGCAAGCTCAAGCGCACGATCTATGGCCTCAAGCAAAGCCCTCGTGCATGGTACACGAGGATCGACGATCACTTGCTCTCCTTGGGGTTCGTGCGGAGCGAGTGTGACCACGCGCTATACGTGCTCAACAAGGACGAGAAGAAGCTCGTTCTTCTCCTCTACGTTGACGACCTTCTCCTCGTGTCGGATTGCAAGACCCTTGTAGCGGACGTGAAGACGAAGCTTGCCGCCGAATTCTCCATGCGTGACCTCGGCGCCGTCTCCCACTACCTAGGGATGCACATTGATCGCGATCGAGGGAACAAGACCCTCGCTCTCCACCAACATAAGTACTTGGAGAGTGTGGTGGATCGCTTCGGCATGATCGAGAGCAAGCCTACACCGACACCTATGGAAGCGGCATTTCATCCCTTGGCGGTGAGCGATGAAAAACCGATGGATCCCGAGAGCGCCAAGACCTTCCACTCGGTTGTTGGGTCATGCATGTATGCCGCGGTGAGCACGCGACCCGACCTCTCCTTTCCCGTTGGAGTGCTTGGACGTGTCGTCTCCAACCCCATGGTCGAGCATGTGCGAGCGTCACGACGTCTCCTTCGTTATATCAAGGGGACCACTCGTATGGGGTTGCACTACGAGAAGGGACCCGTGGTGCTACAAGGCTACACGGATGCGGATTGGGCGGGAGATCCTTCAACCCGCCAAAGCACTTCGGGCTACATCTTCACCCTCGTGGGAGGTGCAATAAGTTGGCAAAGCAAGCGCCAAAACTTGATTGCACTTAGCTCCACCGAAGCGGAGTATGTGGCGCTCACTCGTGGTGGTACGGAAGCGGTTTGGTTACGTCGCCTTCTTGCCGAGCTTGGGCACAAACAAGAAGGCCCCACTCCCATCTACGTGGACAACCAAGCCGCCATTGGCCTAGCCAAGAATTCGGTCCTTCATGGAAGGACCAAGCATATTCAAATCCGCCACCACTTCATTCGCAAGCTCGTTGAAGACAACGAAGTCGAGCTTCGTTACATCAAGACCAACTCCCAACCCGCGGACTTCCTCACCAAGCCATTGCCTAGAGATGCTCTTCATGCATGTTGTGCTAGGGTAGGCTTGCATGCTTAGGTGTGCGTGGGGTGCAAGGGGGAGTGTTGGAAGTGTGGGGGACGGGATTGCCCCCCACGCGAAGACCTCCCTTGACTCGGACCAAGGGAGGGTTCGTTCTTGGAAGGTTGGGGTGACGGCGGATTGTCCGCGTCGCCACGCAACCGAACTTCCCTCGGTTGGGTCCGAACATTTGTGGGGGCGACACTTGGCAGCCCCACAAGCATGCACGAAAATAGCGAGGGTGCAAGCGAATGTTACGAACATTTCGCTACACTCGCTATTGATCCTTGTAACACACGATTGTCGGCGTGAAGAAACGAACCCGGCAAAGTCCGAAATTATGAACGCGGACGTCGCGGAAATTGGACGCGATCCTGAGTCCGAATTTCTGGCGAGTCGCGCGCGGTTCGATGTTACAATTCTGCATGTGTGTTTTAGTTATAAATCCAGAGAGCAAAACAGAGAGTATATATTCCTTGTACGACTTGTGTACCTATCTTCATATGAACAACGTTTTCTCTCTCAACTCTTGGGCGATTTCAGTGATCTAAGTTGCTACGGAATCCTTGCTCCGAGCCCGTCGGATTGATTCTAGGCTCTGGTTTTAACTCGTCAAGCTGAGTCTGTGGCGTCAGTTAATCCAGGGCGGATTCTTACACAAGTTTCAGCTGCTCCAACTCCGAGAGATTCCCAATCTGGCGAGGAAGAGTATGTCAGATTTATATGACATAGTTGCTGTAGGCTATAGTGGGGTAGCACATATGGGGTACAGGGTTTCTAGGGTTGTATTTGTACCCAATCTTTCCTTAGTCATTTCATTCCTGTTCACTTGTTTCACATGGTATAGAGCGGGTCCTTCCTTAGGACCGTTTTTTTTTAGGGCCTACCGAAGCGCGCCCCGAGGCGCGCCCTTTTTTTTAGCGACCCCCCGGGTCGCCATTTCCCTCGCGGCCCCGCTGTCTCTCAGACGCGGCCCCGCCACCTCTCCTGATCGCGGCCCCGCCGCCTGCTTGACGCGGCCCCGCAGCCTTCACTGACGCGGCCCCGCCGCCGGCTCTGACGCGGCCCTGCCGCCCGCTTCGTCGCGGCCCCGCCGCCTGCTTGACGCGGCCCCGCCGCCTCCACTGACGCGGCCCCGCCGCCGGCTCTGACGCGGCCCTGCCGGCCCGCCGCTGCACCCTACGGCCCGCCGCTGCACCCTACGGCCCGCCGCCTCACCTGACGGCCCCGCCGCTGCACCTGCCGGCCCGCCGCTGCACCTGCCGGCCCGCCGCTGCACCCAGCGGCCCGCCGCTTCACCTGACGGCCCCGCCGCTGCACCTGCCGGCCCGCCGCTGCACCCTACGGCCCGCCGCTGCACCCTACGGCCCGCCGCCTCACCTGGTCGGCCCGCCGCTGCACCCTACGGCCCCGCCGCCGCACCTGCCGGCCCGCCGCTGCACCAGTCGACCCGCTGCTGCACCTGACGGCCCCGCCCCTGCACCGCCCGGGAGCCGAGCCGCCCAACGCCGAGCCGCCCGGGACCCGAGCCGCCCTGCCGCCGAGCCGCCCGGGAGCCGAGCCGCCCTGCACCCGAGCCGCCCTGCCGCCGAGCCACCCGGGAGCCGAGCCGCCCTGCGCCCGAGCCGCCCAGCCGCCGAGCCGCCCGGGAGCCGAGCCGCTGTGCACCCGAGCCGCCCGGTCGCTGAGCCGCCTTTCTGCAGAGCTGCACGACCTGCCCTGCCTGGTGAGCACAGTCCCACTGACACTGCGAGCTCTTTCCCTACTGCTTGCACTGCGTCGCTGTCGTCGCCATGGCTACCCCTAGTGTCCTAGCTTTTGACGCTGAGGGTCGCGCCATTGATTTTGAGGTCTGGTTAGACGACCTGCAGCTGTTCTTACAGTGCGACAGGGCTGACGACCTTTCTCTCTTTGACCTCACCTCTGGCGCCTCTCCTGCTCCTGCTGCTGATGCTGATCCCACTGTCCGCTCTTAGTGGGCCACCCGCGATGCTGCTGCACGTCTTGCTGTGCGTCGCCACCTCCCTACCTCTAAGCGTGCGCACTTTAGTCAGTACAAGAGTGCTCAGACCTTGTACGACGCTGTAGTTGCACGCTACTCCTCCCCTGCCACTGCTGCACTGAGCCGTCTCATGCTTCCCTACCTCTTTCCTGACCTCTCTGCCTTTCCCACTGTTGCTGACCTCATTACGCACCTCCGCACTAGTGACACTCGCTACCGCGCCGCCCTTCCTGCTGAGTTCTGCGCTAAGAACCCCCCCCCCATGTACATCGCTCTCTACTACGTAGTCGCGCGCCTCCCTGACTCCCTTCGCGTCGTCAGGGACCACTTTCTCGCAGTCTCTCCCACCACCCTCACCGTCGACCTCCTCGAGAAGGCCCTCCTTGCAGCGGAGAAGAGCATAGTCGCTGTAGGTGCTTCTCGTGGTGACCCTCGCACCCCCATCTTTGAGGGGTGCTCTCCTTCCCCCTTGCTGCCCTCTGTTGCCTCTGCTGCTGCTGCCGACGTGCTTGGTCTTGAGTCGGTCGGCGCGGCGTCTGCCCCTAGTGGGAGACGTCGCTCCAGCAAGGGCAAGGGGGGCAAGGGCGCGGGTGGAGCTGGAGGGGGCGGTGGCGGTGGCGGCGGTGGCGGCGGAGGGAGTGGGGGTGGCGGCGGGACTAGTGGCGGGGGTGGTGGTGGTGGTGGTGGCAGCAACGGCGGAGACGGTGGTGGTGGTGCCAGCGGTGGTGGTGGAGGCAGCGGCGGAGGTGGAGGCGGCGGAGGTGGAGGCGGTGGAGGCGGCAGCGGAGGAGGCGGTGGTGGTGGAGGAGGTGGTGCTGGTCGGGGTGGTACCCAGCAGCGTAGTGGCGGTGGTGGTGGCCAGCGCTCGCAGCGGCAGCAGCAGCAGCGCTCGCGGGACATCCCTCCGCCTCAGCAGCTTCGTGAGTGGTACGCTGGGCGTCAGAGGGGTGGGGGTACTCGTCCCTGCACCTACGTTCTTCGTTCCGGCGACCGCGCGGGTGAGCAGTGTGGGGGTGCCCACGCCACCCAGCGCTGCTTTGGCCGCCTGACGGACGCTTGGCGTCAGCAGTTCCCTGGGGCTAGTGAGATCCCTCGCTGGGATGAGCTTCTTAGGGCTGGTGTAGCGATCTTTGATCTTGATTTTGATGCTATCCTTGCTGCTATGTATGCTGTGGATTATAGTGAGGAGAATGAGGGTTACCGGTGTTTCCAGCCCGACCCGGGCATTGGTACTGCTGCGCTAGGTGCTTGTGAGGCTGCTGCTCTAGGTGCCAGTGCGTCTGTGCTCTCAGGTACTGGTGAGACTGCGCTCTCAGGTACTGCGTCGTCCTCGTCCTCCCTCACTTTCACACTTGACTCCGGGGCTTCTCGCTCCTTCTTTCGAGACCGCACTACCCTTACGCCGCTCGGCCGGCCGGTTGCGGTCTCCCTTGCTGACCCCTCTGGGGGTCCTGTCCTGTCTCACTTCTCCAATGTCCTCCCGTGTCCGGCTGCCCCTTCGGGCACCCTGTCTGGTCTGTACCTTCCCTTGTTCTCTACGAACTTGGTGAGTGGAGGTTCACCAGTTCACCCCTGCGAGTCAGCGGGTGACCCACTGCACGGAGGCACGCACAGGCCGACACCTGGCCACGTTCTCGCGTCGGCCGGGGTCGAGTCTCTACACCCTGACCGTTGATTCTCCTCCTGTCCCTGCGTCTGGTCAGGTGGCTGCGTCGGGTCAGGTGCTTGCTGCTGCGTCCCGGTCAGGTCCTGAGTCTGCCCCCTGTTCTTGTCACCTCCTGTCTCACGAGACTCTCCTGTGGCACCACCGTCTTGGCCACCCCTCATTGCCCCGTCTTCGGAGCATGGCTTCCCGTGTCCTTGTCTCTGGTCTTCCCCAGTCTCTCCCTCCTCTCCCCTCCGGGCCAGGACCTTCCTGTGTCCCCTGTGTCGAGGGTCGCCTCCGGGCCACTCCTCACTCCTCCCACTTCCCCCCGACAGAGGCTCCCCTGCAGACGCTTCACATGGATGTGTGGGGCCCAGCCCCCGTCCGTGGGCAGGGTCACGAGCGCTACTTCCTGTTGGTGGTTGACGACTACTCGCGTTACACCACAGTCCTCCCCTTGCGCAGCAAG